CTTCCTTCCTTCCTTCCTTCCTTCCTTCCTCCCTCCCTCCCTCCCTCCCTCCCTCCCTCCCATATTTGTACTCTAATTCAGTTTAGGCTTAGCACATTAGGGCTTAAACTATACTATTTTACGAAATACACCACTGTTTCTCAGTGCTTAGCAACTTTAAGATATGTGGATTTCAACTTTCAGGATTCCCCAGCCAGCATGGGGAGTCGAAATCCATACATCTTAAAGTTGCTGAGGTTGAGAAACACTGAAATATACCATAGCTGGCACATATTTTTTCATTTCAAGCCATGCCGCTGAAAGCTGGCAGTGCAGTCAGAAAGCATTTTAGATGCTGCAAAAATGATATTCAGATTGCAGACTGTCTAATTTTAAGAGCTCTATCACCAAGTTATTCACAGATTCATAACAAAGGGAGAAAAATAAGAGTTGAAGTTGTGCTTTTCTGTTAATTTAATTAGAATGTATCCAGTTTAAGTTTTGTAGGTCTTAATCCATCTGTCAAATAGTTTTTACTTTGGCAAATCATCCAAAACGTAGCAATACCCTAAGGAGGTAATGCTAAGGAAGGCAACCTAACTGCAGATAAACAAATCTTAAGATCTTAAACACTGATTGCAGAACTGATATCCATATCTATTTCATTCCTTTTAATACAAGACTTAAAATAACAACACCAAAACATTGTCAGAAATGATTTAAAAATATTAAATATGACTGACCTTTACAAGAAATGAAAGAAGAGCACCAGCGTATGATTAGGGGGGAATAATTTGCAAAATGATTATTTTTGGTCTGCATTTCCTGAGTTCATTTGATGCGAATAATTTATGAATGTGGTGTATATCTATCAAAGGGCTGCTTCTGCATATACAAAGCTCCTGAAGACTGCAGCTCAGGAGATGGAGGTCCACCTAAAATTCTGCAAGGTCTACCCCCAAATCAGTCTGTGAAAGTTCTAATCAGAGTATACGTCGTAGCAGTAAGTATCCTTCTGATGTCAACCTTAAACTCAAGTCAGATTCTTCTTTCAAGATAGAATAGAGTGCGTGGTTCCAATGTAAGAAATAGCTCCAAAATTATGAAGATGTAAAGACAAATAAAAAGCAAATAACTTGCACATCTACTCTCCCTTATAAAGTTTACTGAACAAGGGGGCTGCAAGATATGTTCAAAAAAGTCAAGATGACAGTCACAACAGTGTGATGGAAGTTCGGCTCATTTTTATGGGTGTCACATCTAGCTTGCCAAGACCCCTATTACTGAATCACTTACAGGCCATAAAGTGGAAGCTTTAAGTCCTAATTAAGATTTGTGAGGAATCTTACCAAAGCTGTATTGGACCTTTCAAAAGAAATTAGGAACATAGAAAGAACCCAGTCAGATTATTTTTCCATCTAATGCAGGACTTTTTTTAGAGTGATCAGTAAAACGTCTTCAGGATTGCATTTAGATATTTTCCCTGTAAATTAATGCTCCTTTCCTGAGCCTCTGGTTTAATCACCATGAAAAAGGAAGTCCACTGCTGTTTTCCTTTGCCCATTCCTCTTCCATCATCAGCTTCAGATATAAAGAAGACGAGGAAGTCTACATGATTTGTGCATCTTTTCCCAGCAATGTATATCCTGAAATATTGTTTTCTTCTACATTTTTTCTAACACTGTTCATTCAGTCTGATGTGCAAGAATTTGCTTTTGATTTTTTTTTTTAAGAAGAAGAGACAGTCTCATAGGTAGATTGTGGTGTCCTCACACATCTTCAGTGAAGAGATGGCTGAGTGATGTGTGTGAAAGTCCCACCTTTCATGATACAATTCTCTCTCCAGTAATCTGCAGCCTCCCCGGCTTCCACATCTCCATTAATCCCAATGAAGAGAGATCATGGGAGAACTCCTTTCATGGGACCCTTTTTTTAGATCAGGAAGCATGTGCGGGAGAGGAAAGCTTTAGACTGATGGAGAGATGGTTCAAGAACACTATGTGCACCCCTTCTGCCAACTCTATTAATGAATGTATTGCTCAAAACAGAAACAAGAGGAAACTAAAAGTAATTCTTGAGCACCTTGAGAGCCAGTAGGAAAACAGAAGCTTCTCTTCTAATGGAAAAATATTTGAGAAAGGCAGATTTAATCTCCTTTTTATTCTGACTTAGAACATTTGCATCTTACTCAGTGTATTATATAAATTATATAAAATTGTAAAGGTTATATAAAATTATATAATTATATAAAAATTATTATGGAGCCAGCTTGGTCTAGTGGTGAAGGCTAGAAACCAGAAGACAGTGACTTCTAGTCCTGCTGAGGCATGAAAGCCAGCTGGGTGACCTTGGGCCAGTCCCTCTCTCTCAGCCCAAATCACCTCACAGGGTGATTATTGTGGGGAAAATAGGAGGAGGAAGAAGTATTAGATATGTTTGCCACCTTGAGTTATTTATAAAAATAATAAAGGTGGGATTAAAAAAAATAAAAAAATTGTACAGTTGGGAAGAGTTCATATCTGAAGAAGAGCTTCAGAGGCACTCAAATAGCATCAATCAGTAACTCCTTAAAGCAACTGCAATTTTCTCTGAGATTCCACATCTACCCTTTGCAGATGCAGCATGATCCTGGAAAATGATGAATGCCGTTTAACGAGTTTATTTATTCTACTTGTATGCTGCCAAATCAGTACAGACTCACATTGTTTGCAGATGAGGAAGAGTAAAAGGAAAGGCAGACAGCATGTGTAGCCCTTGTATGATCAGTGCCCTCAAAGCCCACCTTGGTTTGTCTTTGAAAACCATCGTTGATGCACAGAATAGCACTTATTAAGTAACATTTTTTTCCAATTTTTCAGGCCTTTAATCTTAGTCCAGCTGATCCTGATGGTAAATCTGATCCTTATATTGTGGTGAGACTGGGGCAAACAGAAATTAAGGATCGAGACAATTACATCCCAAAGCAACTAAACCCAATTTTTGGGCGGTGAGTTCATTAGATATGCATGATGTTTCATGTTCAATGAGTTACTCCTGACATTTTTCTTCCCTTATTTTGGGGCAAATTGCATTTCTTAAATATTGACATGTCATAGTTTGTAAGCCTCAGTTCTCAAAAATATTTGTACTGTCTAATTCATAGTTATCTGTGGGGAGAAGGTCATAATTGGGAAGATATCAGATGGGGTGTCATGAGGCAAGTCCCACCCTTTTGAATGTGAGCATGCATGTTAAAAAGGGGTAGGACTTGCATAATGGTGCTGTGCCTGACTTGTTAATGATGTTGACCACACACCCTCCATGGACACAATCGCAAATCATTTGACTATCTCTTAAGTCTATAGTGATTCTTTTGTAATTAAAATATTTGCACTGGAGTTTTGCCTATGCAATTTTCTATATTAGATATATGCCACAGTTACAATATATCTGCAGAATTCTTAGTTTGGTCTACAACAGTGTTTCTCAATCTCAGAAGCTTTAAGATGTGTGGACTTCAACTCCCAGAATTCCCCAGCCAGCTTGTATTTAAATGAATGCATTCTGATCCAAGAGATTTTCCATCTCTTATATGATTTTAATATGTTCCAATAATAATGGTTATGTGACTTTATTGATACACAGAACAGTAGATTTTCCATGCACAGAAATGCTGTAAAATAATACTTGGGTGACAAAAAGTTAAGAGGTTTGAGATCTGGAATTCTGAGAGGTGGGATATATAATTCAATCATGTTTTCAGTAATGTTCAGTAAGGAAACAAGGGCTGGAGTGTTTCCATGTTAAATCTCCCAAAATTAAAATGTTGAATGCCTGTCAAGCTAATAAGTCCCTTTCAAACTTGAAAAGTTTAAGTTAGAGGCTGAAAGGTAATAATTCTCCAGGAAGGACATGACCCCACCTGAATCAATTCCAAACAACCTTGATTAATAAGAGCCAGTCCTGACAAGAAATATTTACATTAATGAACTTCGGGAAAGATGTCCAAAGGAGGGGAAATGGATGTTAAGAGACCATTATTCAAAAGCCACATTGTAAATACTGTCATTAAGCTTCCAAACAATGTTCTTTGGACTTTAGAGCAGTCTTCTCCAACCTGGTAGCCACCAAAGTGAACAGGATTGTAGTTCCTTGGATTCCCAAGTCACGTGCCCTTCCCAAGAAGGTTAAACTATGGGGCAGGATCAGGGCATTCCAGCAGACATACTTCCTTTTATCTGCAGAGTTCCATTATTTTAAGGTGCAAATTTCTGGACTGCATTATGTTATTTCATGCATTCTGAACTTCAGCAGGTAGAAGCACTTGGCTAAGGTGGTCTGGATTTGGTAGAGGGGTCAGGCCAGATCTACGATGGAAAAACACTGAGGGATCCCAGGGCCATAGCCTAGACTGGGAAATTAAAAAAAAAAAAATCCCAGAAGATACTCTTGTCAAGAAAACTGCATGAATGTGTCCATGAAGATAACTCAGAGATTTTATCTCTCTTTGTGTTGAAAACAAAGATGTTTACAATTACTTTGCCAACTGGTATGACTAATCCTGAAGATTTCTGCCTGTTAATTTCCATCTTATTACTTTGCTTAATTGGTTGCTAAATTTTCTGCAGTCCCATTAAATCTTGGAATGATTTAAAAATGACATAAACTACACTAAAGAGACCTTTGTGAATTAACCCTTCTACTTCTTTCTTATACTTTCCTTGAATGCAGCTATGTTGCCTCTTTTTGTTGCTGATTAATCATCAATTTGTGGTGATACCAGCCATGTGTTTCCAAGAAAATAATTAAACAAATGAAGTCCACCATAAAATGAGAGACAAAGTTTGAAAGCACTTCAATTCTTCTCCACCTTGCCTAGAAGCTGGTTTCCAGGATCTTCTCCCCATCGTCCCCCACTAAACACACTTACTTCTTTTCCTTTCTGTAGGATCACTTTGGAAAACTACACCTAATGAAATTCTTCACATGACCTTACGCTGTTAGCTAATACTATAACATGATTAAAACAAAATCTACCCCACTCACAACCTGTCTTGACTTTAGTGAATCTTGTTCTTAATCAAGTATGCTTAGGATTGCAGTTCAATAACTAATGAATTTGACTTTTTAAAAAAATCTTTTTGCATTAGGTCGTTTGAAATTCAGGCAACTTTCCCCAAAGAATCCTTGCTTTCGGTCCTGATCTATGACCATGATTTGATCGGTTCAGATGACCTCATTGGAGAAACTAAAATCGATCTGGAAAACCGTTTCTACAGCAGGCACAGAGCGACTTGTGGATTGCAAGGCCAGTATGAAATGTAAGGGCCTCTCAGGATATGCAGTCTATAAGTAACTGATGGACAAGGAAACTGTGCAGATTCAGAAACTTCTAGAGGAAACTAAAGGTTGCTGAGTGGTAGATATTTATTAAAGTGTTGTAGAGCAAAGCTAATTTTGACACTGTAGTGGACTACCATCTGAAATGAGCAACCTTCCAAAATCCTCTCCTCTTCTCGAATTTGTAGTGAAGGATACAATGCCTGGAGAGATGCAATCAAACCAACTGAAATCTTGGGCAAGTTATGCAAAGATAACAGACTGAATGGGCCGATCATGCAACCTGGAAAGATACAAATAGAGAACAAGATCTTTACAGGGCAGACAGTCTTCCAGGAAGATGAATGTGGTAACTACAGTATTAATTATTGCCACTATCAACAGTGCCCATTGTGTATCCCCACTAGACCAACATTTTTGTCACTCTATAAAATATTGGGTGGTGCTGCATTATTTTTATATTACTGTTTATTAATAATATGTATTAACAGTTGGCTGGTAGACTTAACCAACGGTGGCTGATCTGAAAAGCTAAGCAGGGTCAGACTGGGCTAGTACTTTTGTCAGAGACCATCAGAAATCCCAGGATTGGGAAATTGAAAACATATCTCAGAGGAAGTCAGTGGTAAACCAGTGTCATCCTGCTGACATGGAAGGGAACATGGACATGTCAGTGAAGTAACTAGGAGTTAAGCTAAACTTTGAATGCATGCATACATATGTACTATTTTATCATAAGGAAAATCATGCATTTTCCAGTCATCTAGAGTAAAGGAGGAATTTAACATGGGTTAAAATAAATCTGATCTACATGGTTATTTTAAAGGGAAGGACCAAGCCACTCATTTATGTTGGTATCCCAGTTTTTGCTCTTTTACTTGTCTTAGGTTAACAGAAACTAATAAAAATATCTGTTTTATTTGTTAAAAATAAAAAGGCAAATCCTTTAAAATCCTTTCTAGGCAATATCCTCAATTTAACTCAGATTGCTACTAGGGTTGACATAGGCCACATGGTATAGGAACATTATTTATTTATCACATTTATATAGCCGCCCATCTCCCATAGTGACACTGGGCACTGTACACAATGAAAGAATCCAAATAGATAAAAAGCAATTAAAAATACAACCAAAATAAATTAAAAAGATAAAAACAAAGTGATGGAAAAACATGACTAGAAATACACATACTGTATAAAAACATTAATTGCTTTCAAAGCATGCGGCTACTGGATACATATGCAATTTTATGCAAGTAATAATCCTGTTTCTAGGAACTGATCTCCATAACCTGATCTTTTGATAGTTTACAGAGATAAATAATTATCTAGATGTATTGTTTGTATTGTTCCATAAGGTATTCTTATTCCCAGTAGCTGGTCACCTGCCTCTGCATTTGAAAAATAAAGTCTTCCTAGAAACTAATTCAGCTTCTGGTAATTTCATGGACATGTCTGTCAAGTTTTTTTGGCAACAGTATGGACAGGGTTTACCACTGCTGCCTTCTGAGATGTTTTCTACTTCCTACAGCCCTGGACTTCCACATCTACGTACTTAGAAGACCTTACTCTGCTTAGGTTCCAGGTTGCCACCTGCTGAGACCCTCTTCATTGTAAGCAGATCTTAATTATCTGCTTTGTTAATTGATGCAATTGCATTAATCAGTACATTAACCTATTAACTCAGCTCTACCTGTTCATTTTTGTGCTGCCCTTCCTTGTTCAGAGGAGCCGGTAGAATCATATGAACACCTTGCTCTGAAAGTTTTACGTTCCTGGAATGACATTCCAGAGGTTGGATGTAAGTTGGTGCCCGAACACATCGAGACAAGGCCTCTCTATCACAAGGATAAACCTGGCATGGAACAGGTAAATGCTGCTGCATCTTAGATAGATGGCAAAAAGAAGCTTTGCAGATCTCAATCATGTTATATTACTTCTATCCCAACTTTCAATAGTAGAGAATATCTGTAGCTCAGAGTTGAACTGTTGGGTTCTTGGTGTTCTCTGAGCTTGGTTGTCTTCCTGCAGATGTTTCCTTACCAGGCAAATAGAAGATTGGCAGAATGCATCCATGAACATCAACTGGCAGTCAGAAGAAATCATGAAAAATCCTTACTCTCTGAACACATAGAAAAATTAAACCACAATTTCAACTGGGAATCTGTTAACATTTAAGATCAAGCCAAATCCAAAATGCTAGGGTATTCCTGGATTCTTGGCATTCTCACAAATCAGCCATCAACAGATACATAGAGATAAACTCCATATGCATACTATTTAAAAAATATAATCCAAAGTCAAGAAAGGAAACAAACAGCTTGGAGCACATTCTCCTTCACAACAAACACCCAGATAAGCAGGAAACGGCACCAGATAAATAATCAGGGAAGAAACAATAGAAACAAAGAACCATCAAGGAGAAAATTACACCCCAACCATGATTGGCAGGTCAAGTTAGTATATATAACTTCACTCTCCTGTGCACTGATGATGTTACCTAGGTTGGTAATGCAACATTTGCAGGAAAACACCCAAGCTCAGAGTACATAAGAATCCAACATCTCAACTTCTTTTCACAGCAGTTAACAGTGTTACAGAGCTGGAGTTTGAATTGTGCTTCCATGACCTGAACAGAATCTGGAGGGGGAGTGAGCAAACTTTTCTCTATCAAGGGCTACATTCCTTCAGGGGTAGCCTGTCGGAATCATATGTTAATGATTATGGGCTGAAGCAGAAAGAGGAAGAGATAGAGCCAGGGTGAAGGCCATTAGTCCTCTTTTGGACATCCGTTTTTCCTCCCTTTCTCAAATCTCTTTTTCTTTCTTTTGTTCTCTTTCTGACTCCTTCTTCTCACTGTCTGAAGCAACAGACCACAAGGAGTAAGGAGATAAAAAGCTCTTCCCACAGGTTGGACTCAATCACTTGCAAGGGTGCTTTTGAAATAAAGTCAAGAGACTCATGAAATAAGGGAAGTGCCATAGGTTTGGGACCATCAAACGTGAATCTCCTGCAGAGATGATGCTTCCCAGGTCCTTGTGGGGAGGGGGGAAGGTTGAATTGAATGATATTATTTCATGGCTAGTTTAGAATCTTATTCTCTGTGTTGTGTGTTTTCTTTTCTAAAGGGTCGTGTGCAGATGTGGGTGGATATATTTCCTAAAGATATGCCTCTTCCAGGCCCTCCTGTTGATATTTCACCTAGAAAGCCCAAAGGGTAATTTATGACATGCACATTTCTTCTTCATCTGCAAGTATACGTTTGCTAATGTCTTGCATCTTTCATAAGATAGCATTTCCTATTATGAAAAGGTAAAAACTCCCTCAAGCTGAGCTGGTCCCTTTGTGATTGGGGTGGCGCATCCATGTCGTTTTTGTGACAACAATATGAAAAGGATTTGCCATTACTGCTTTGGGGGATTTTCATTTTTACTTCCGAACCCTGAGATTTGCTCTCATGTTCAAATACAAATCAACCTTTGCATTTTTGAAGAGCAGACAAGATTAGTTAAGAAGCCCCTTAGCCAGGAGGAAATTCCAGTTTTTTGACAGGGACCTGAATGTCCTTTTTGTTTAAAAACGTCTCCTTTCTACTTTCTATCCCTCATTTGCACTTGCTTTTCCTTAACTGACAATTGTTTGAAGTTCTCGCCAACAGCATTGCTGGAAGAACTCCTGCACAGTTAAGAGATCTTGTTTTTTCCTGGTGTTTTCTCTAGTAAAACAAACACTGCAGGTTTTTCACTTGATAGAAATGCCTGTAAGAATTGCTTCCCAGATCAATAGGTATTTTTTCTGCATCGTGAGCCGTGATCCCTTTTTCAAGTTTCTTTTCACACTTCTGGATAGAGGAAACTATCTTCTGTTTTCAGCTGTATTATTTTCCATAGCATTGTCTCCAGAATTATTATAACTCATGCAGTGGTACCCAAATTTAGAGTTATGGCTTTGTGAAAAGAACTTTGCTTATTTGTATATTGGCTCTTTTTTTTGCCATTAAACATGCAAACGTATCTGCCCAGGCCCTCTAATTTGAAGAAATTTGGCAATGTTTATTTAACATAATTTCAGATAACAAAAGCACATACCATCATCAAACTGGCTCTTCAGAAAGAGAATGTGATGAATATTAATCAGACATAACATTCAAGGAAAATTCAGACCTCATTTAAAAAGAATTTTAACAAGAACTTGGGAAAATAATCTATTAATGAGGGTGGGGGGAGTTGGTCTGAGATAATTTTATAAAAGTATATATCAAGTTTGCTCAGTTTTAACTGACTTATTTTTTAAACAGGCACAGCTCTTTGTCCA